ACCTCAGACACTTGATACTTACTAGCTGTGTGACCCTGGGCAAGTCATTCAATCCCACTGCCTAGCCAAAATAATAATAATAATAACAACAACAACAACAACAAAATTTATCTGGAAGAATAAAAGATAAAGAATTCTATGAAAATCTGAAAAAAAAAGAGAGGGAAGGTAACTTAGCACTAAGTGATCTCAAATTATATTACAAAACAATAATCTTAAAAATTATTTGGTAATGGTTAAAAATAGAAAAGTTGAGCACAAGGTCTAGAAGCAAATAAACATAGTATCATAGTATTTAATAAACCCAAGAGTTCAGCTACTAGAATAAGGAATCAGTTTTCAACAAAAAACAGCTGGGAAAACTGGAAAGCAGTCTGGCAGAAATTGGGTTTGGACTAACATCTCACACCATATTCCACAATAAGCTCAAATAGATACATGACCTAGATGTAAATCTTAGATATCACATAATAAATTAGAGGAATAGTAAAAGTAATGTATTTCATGACTGTGGAGAAGAGGCAGGTTCTTAACCAAGTAGGAGATATATTAAAAGTACAGTGATTTTCTTGATGATATCCAAGATCTACAGAGAAGTGATTCAAATATATAAGAACAAGAGTCACTCACTAATAGGTGAATACCCAGAAAATATCATTAGGCTGTTCTCAAAATAGAAAAGCAAGCTATCAATAATCACATGAAAAAATTATTCCAAATAACTAACAATAAGAGAAATGCAAATTAAAACAACTCTGACGTTCTATTTTATGCCCTCATAATTGAAAAATATGACCAAAAAGGAAAATGAAATGTTGGAAAAGACGTTTGAGGAAAAACACACTTATATGCTATTGTTAAAACTGTAAATTGATCTAGCCATTCTGGAAAGCAATTGAAAAATATATTTAAAAAATGACTAGACTGTTCATACCCTTTGAGTGATAACACTACTAGGCATATATACCCTAAAGAGATCAAAAACAGAGAAAAAAGATCCATATTTGCAAAAAGTTTTATTGTTTATTGCAAAAATGTTTATTGCACTTTTTATTGTAGTAAACAACTAGAAACTAAGGGGGTGCCTATCACATGGGGAATAACTAAAAATTATGATTTATGAATATAACAGAATATCATTTTGCCATTAAAATTTTGAAGGGGATTGAATCAGAGAAACCTGCAAAGACTTGTATGAACTAAGGCAGAGGGAGCTGAGCAGAACCTGAAGAACAACTTATACAATTACAATAACATCAAAAAGCAACTTTGAGACAAGCACTAACAATCAATGCAATAACCAGCCATGACTTCAGAGGACTAATGATGAAGTATGTTTCTCACCTCTTGATAGAAAAGTACTTGACTAGAAGGGCAAGATGAAAGACATATTTTTGTATTCATGTTTTTGTTTTTCTTGGCTATGTTAACTTGTCACAAGGACAGTTTATTGGAGTGGCAATTCTAGTGATATGAAAAAGTGCTCTAAATCACTATTGATTACAGAAATGAAAATTAAACAACTCTGCAACACTGCCTCATACCTATCAGAAATAACAAATGCTGGAGGGGTGAGGGAAATGGGTACACTAATAAACTGTTGGTGGAGTTGTAAACTTGGTCTAATTATTCTGGACAACAATTTGGAGCTATGTCCAAAGGGCTATAAAACTGTGTATACCCTTTAACTCAATAATACCACTACTAAATCTATACCCCAAAGAGATAAAAGAAAAGGGAAAAGAACCTATATGTACAAAAATATTTATGGCAGATCTGTTAGTGGTGGCATAAAATTAGAAATTGAGGGGATGCTCATCACTTGGTAAATGGCTAAACAAGTCGTGGTATATGATTATGATGGAGTAATTTTTTCTATATGAAATGATGGTGGGCTTGACTAGGTGTCACAGTGGATAGAGCATTGACTCTGGATTCAGAAGGACCTAAGTTCAGATCCAGCCTCAGACACATAACACTTACTTGCTGTGTGACCCTGGGCAAGTCACTTAACCCCACTGCCTAACCAAAAAAAAAAAAAAAAGAAAGAAAGAAAGAAAGAAAGAAAAAAGAAATGATGGTGGGGTTCAAAAAAAAACATGGCAAGACTTACACAAACTGATGCAAAGTGAAGTGAGAAGATCATTGTGCACAGTAACAGCAATGTTGTAACGATGCTCAATTGTGAAAGACTTGGCTACTCTGATCAATACAATGATCCAAAACAATTCCAAAGGACTCATGATGAAAAAATGCTATCCACCTCCAGAGTGAGAAGTGATGAATTCTCAGTGCAAACTGAAGTACAGTTTTCTCACTTTCTTTTTTTCTTTTCTTTTTTTTTGAAATATTGCTCATATGGAAATAGGTTTTGCATGATTTCACATATATAATTGATATCATTCTGCTTTTCTTCACAGTGGGTGGGGAAGGTAAGGAAGGGAGAGAGAGAATTTGGAACTCAAAATTTAAAATGAAAACAATCATAAAAATAAATAAGTCGTGAATGGTGGGGGGATAAAGCTTTTCACTGTTGGGGAAAAGTGGAAGAACAACAAAAATGCATATGTAATGATATTAAGAGTTTCATATATAATCTTTTTTTGGTTCCTCTTCGCATAAGCAAATGTAAAGCTTGTTACTGCTTATAAAATGAGAGGGTTGAATGAACTACATGATCTCTAAGGTCCTTTCCTGTTCTAAATACTATGATCTACGCCATCTATCTTGGAGGACAGCGACCCAGGTATGAGTCATGAGTTGGTACTCTTAGACTGCAAAATGGAGGGAACCAAAAGAACAATAAATGAATAAATAAATCAATTGACAAGCAGTTACAATTTGGGAAGCATTATGTTAGGTGTTGAAGAGGAAGAAGAAAAGAAGAGATTGAGAAGGAAGAAGAAGAGGAGGAGGATAAGGAGAAGGGAGAGGAAGATAGGAAAAAAGAGGAGGAATAGAAGATAATCTCAAGGATTTTTGAAAATATATCCACTGTTGATTGACAATTATATATAAGAGATAATTGTCAGCTCATCTTGGCCAATGAGAGGGGAGCTATGCCTGAGCCACCAGGAGAGAAAAGTTCAAAACTAAAGAGAAAGATCAACCTAGAATACTTGGAGAAACATGAGGGTGGGGACAGTGTCACAAAGGGAAGACTTGGCTTCAAGGTCCCAAGATACAAGATCCAATGCTAGTTGAAGGCTCTAATTGGAAAAGGTGAAGGCTGAGACACCAACAGTCTTAGCAGTAAGATCGATCATTTAGGGTTTAGAATTGAGCTAACATCAAGGACAAAATCTGATAAATGACTGTTCAGAATGAGAGAGCTAAGAAAGAGTAGAAATAATTCCCTACATGTAGGAACAAAAATAACTGATAAAGTCTTTTACAATTGGTTAATATCACTCTTTTTAATGGTTTTCCTATTCTCTCTACTCTTTGCTATGTTCCCCATGTGATACAAATAGTCAATCCCTGAACCATACCTAGGGTGAGACCATTCAGTCTTTGCCCTAGGGGACCCTAATTTGTAGTTTTTGAACAACATGGAAGGTTTTCCCCAACTCACTTGCTTGGCCATACTCTAACTGAATGCCTCTCCAGTCTGGGTTAGCCCTGTTCCCTCTCTCCTGCTTTGTGACATCCCAGAGTCTTTTCCCAGAGAGTGTCCCAAGGTCTCCCCCAGCCCTTAAATTTATATGCCTTAAAAGCTGATTTGAGGTCATATTTCATGCTACTCACCCCAGGTACATTGTGTACTGCATGTCCTGTGTACAAAAATGTTTAGTTATGGCTCTGATCAATTCTCTTCTGAAAATACCTAAAACGAATATCCACAGCCTCTTAGGGAGAAGAGGAATGGGTAGAACAGTAGAGAGTATCTATGTTCTTTCCATGTAGGAATTCTAGGAATTAGAGTCCTTTGAAAGATGAGAAATGGTGGCACTGGAAACCTAGCATGCTGTGCCAGCAAATTGGATCCTAGAGCTTTTCAGTCTAAAAGAGAAGTTGTTCCTTAAGGGAAAAGGTTGTGGGAAGGTGGAAGTGGGCCTCATTTTACAGGTCCTGGCCTATGGCCTCATAATAAGGGAAAATGCTTTCTTCTGCTTTTGATTTTTTTTAATTGTTGTATTTATATAAAACATGCTCCTTGAAAACAGTAATTATTTTAGGTGGCTACAATACACAAAGCATTATTCTAGATGTTGTGAAAGCTTAAAAAAATTAGATAAAACATGCCCTTGTGTAACTTGCCAATATTCATCCACATATACACAAGTGTGTATGCACACATCTACCTCAATACTTAAAGGATATTTGATTTCATTTGTGTGGGTACTCCTTTCACTGATGAAATTTACAATTATCCTATAGCTTGGTTAGATGGTCTGAAAGTGCTAATGGGACAGAAAAAAGTTTTCCTCTTTCAGTCAGCCTGGTGAAAGATCTCCTCCTGTGTTTTGCTTTATTAGTCCTCAGAGAGATGACAGACAAACTCTTGGGCAGCCCACAGTCAAAGTCTCTCCAGACTTCCAGGACCCACTCAAACTTGAGCCCCTTGGCATTGCCTTTAGAAACCAACATGATTTCTATGCCACAATGAAGCACTGGAGGGGGGAATTTTACACACATACACACACACACATTTGAAAACTGACTCAACAAGGAATAACTAGGGAAATTGTGTGAACAAAGACAAGGAGGGAGGGAAATGCAGGACATTTGACAGTGATCAAACATGACTGCAATAGAAAGTATGTAAGGTAGAATAATGTGAGATTTAAGTAGAAAGGATTGACCAAACAAAGAAATAATACAATAAATACAATACTAAAATTCTCCTTCACAAATTGTTAGTATCCTGTTTTTTAGTATCCTGAATAATTTTCTTAATCACAGTCATAACTATTAGGCACCCACCTTAAAATGTGAACTTCACTATTGCGAGATTCCCAATAGTGGGGGAGAAAGAAGAGCATAAAGAGACATTGTACCTTGGTCGTTGGTGTCCATGCCCTTCATGCCCTGGGATACAGTTTTTGGGGGCTGAAGGGTTAATATTTAAGGAAATCCTTAGGGCCACTGCTGAGATGCCCACAAATGGTGAAGAGAAATTAAGCATCACTGAGGTGGTTTGGTGAAAAAGGAAATTCAGATTGTGGGTCACATTAATAGCCAACGGGTTATGCTGGCATGATAACTCATAGGTTCCTGCAGAAAAAAAAAATAATGATATAAACAACTTCAAATTGTAATATCTGACCAGAAAATTTCTTGGAGCTCCAGAGCAGAGACACCCAGTTCTTTAAAAAATATATATTTATTTATTTTTAGTTTTCAACATTTACTTCCATAAGATTTTGAGTTCCAAATTTTCTCTCCTTGACACACAGTTCTTATTGAGTGTCTTATTAATCTCTTAATATTTAAAAAGTCTTACAAATGTTCACCTAAAATCATGCCCATTACACGTAATTATTATTTATGATGCTGTCCATCACAGAGAAGAGAGCAAAAAGAATACCTACATAAAGGGGAACAGATGGCACCATAATACTGACAGATGAAGTTTCCTGATAGAGCCAGTAAGGTTAGATCATTACGTGCTAGCAAAAGGGACTTTTTAATACTGGTGATCTGATCAGCTAGTTTTCCACAGCTTTCTGAAAGATGTTGTTTTAGAACTGTAATGCTTAAAGAGTCCAAAATACAGGGCAGTTAGGTGGTGCAGGGGATAGAGCTCCAGCCTTGGAGTCAGGAGAACCTAAATTCAAATCCAGCCTCAGACACTTGACACTTACTAGCTGTGTGACCCTGAGTAAGTCACTTAACCCCCACTGCCTCACCAAAAAGCAAAAAAAGTCCAAAATAGGACCTTATGTTGAATACCTTCAATGCCAAGGATCCCTTTCTCAAATGGATCTTTGTGGGAGATTGTGCTAGCCCCTTTGGAAAGAGCATGAAAAAGGCACAACTTACCCTAATGTTCTTAGGGAAGCAGTGATTCCCCAACCTCCTTTTTATTCAGAGGTGGAGAAGGGATAAAGTGTTAGTCAGTCTCTAACTCTGGGTAGTAAGGAGGAACCAGGTTGTTAGCTTACACTGGAGCAGTTTCTTGGTGTATACCTTTAAGGTTCCTTTCATTCTATATCAAGGAAGATATAAATCCAGGGAAGAGAATGGTAACTCCTCAAGAAATACTTTCCCTCCCTAATTATATCACATTTTCAATGTTTTCATGTCCATTATCTCAGCTTATCCTCACAATTTGGCTTCCTATTGCCTACAGAATAAAATATAAACTCTTCTGTTTAACTATAAAGCCCTTCATAACCTGTCTCCCAATCTATCTTTCCAGACTCATTTTATACTATACACCCTCCTATACTTTGTAATCCATCCAAGGTGATCTACTGTCCCTTCCTTGGGACACTTTATCTCTCATCTCCATGCCTTTGCATGGCTTTCCTCCATACCTAGAATGTATTCCTTCCTCACTTTTGTCTAATAGAATCCTTCAAGATGCAGGGCAAGCATAACCTTCTATGTGAAGCCTTTCCTGTTCCATGCAAATGTTAGTGCACGCCCTCTCATATCATATATATATATATGTATATATATATATATAAAGAGAGAGAGAGAGAGAGAGAGAGAGGGAGAGAGATGATAGTGCCCTCCATATTTAACTACTTTGTATTTATTCTCTTGTTATCAGTCTGTATATACTTATTATTATACAGATATGTCTTTTTGCCTCTCTCATTAGAATGTAAGCTTCTTGTATACAGGGATTGTTTCATATGTTTTATTTGCACCCCCAGTGTCTAGCCCAGTACCTGGTCATATAATCACTGACCAGTAAGCACTTAATAAATGCTTATTGATTGATTTAAACATCCCTTTCAGATAGGCAGAAGTCAGCATTACAAAGGAAGACATATACCAAGATGAATTCAAATTTGTCCAAGTGAACATAGGTCAGACCACCTGTAGAGAAGTCATATTCATAATTGCAAAAATATTAAGTGGTATACTGTTGGCTTCATTCTATATGATTCACTTATGTTTGGTCCTTCTTTCTGATTTTCCCTTTTTCTTGCTCAAAAAAATGTTCAGTATATAAGGGGTGCAATAAAGGCAAGAAGAGATCAAAATAAAAGGAGAGAATGACCCTTATTTTGGGGCTCCTGCAATCTTCTTTGTGACTACCATTCCTCTTGTTCATGAAGGAGAAAAGCTGCACTTACCAAGGGAGTGGTTTTGTCCACTGGCATCACTCAAGTGAAGAGTCACTGTTGGCCGCTGCTTTTCCCCATGGACCATGCCATCAGATGCCAAGAAAATGAAAACTGTGGTGGCCACACCAGGTCTGTCAAAGCATACCTAGGCACAAGTACACATATGTATAACTCATAATTTGTTTTTATATCAATAAAAATATCTATCTCATTACAGTAAAGGAACCATTGAAATGGTTCTAGTCTACCAAACATAGTATCACTAAAACCAGGTAAAGGTGCAGTATGACACATTTCAGTCAGACATAATGAAGAATACCTTGAGTTCCTCTTTTGATTAAGCACTAAAGCTGAACTCTAAAGGCATTTGTGGATTTTCTGTACTTTGGAGAACTTCGGGCATAAAACAGGCCAGGAACATGTCACCTGGACCATAAGAGGGAGGAAATGAGATAGAGGGTGGAGCTGGAGTAGAAAAAAGCACTTATCAGAGATTGAAGATATAGTCCAAGAAACCCAGTAAAGTTGTCATGGTTTTGACAACGTGGGGCAAGAAAGTAGGAAGGGACTGGATATGGGAAGCATGGTTTGCTGAGATCACAGTTTGAATTACAAGTGCCTTCTCCACTACTACTGTTGTGTTACCACAAGGCAGGTTGTGCTCTTATTCCAAATCCCACCCCGCCCCCAACCAGAAACTGCATAGTTATGATTCAGACAACTGCCTAGAGGCAGGAGGACCAGATGCCTTCTTGAAGTCATTTCGATTTCTAAAATGTAATGGTTTAACTGATTAGCAGCCAACACAGTACAATGGAAAGAGCAATGAACTTGGAGCCAGAGGACATGGCTTAGAATGTTGGTTCTGCTACTTGCTACTTCTATGATTCTGGGTAAGTTACTGAAACCTGTTAGTCCTCAGTTTCCTCATCTTTAAACTGATGGTGAGTTGAACTAGTTAACCTCTAAGATTCCTTCTGGCTCTATAAGTACAAATCTCTTAAACTGTATTGTACATAGATAAATGCAGTTTTCCTTTTAATAGAAGTTATTCTAAAAACCGAGTTACCGTGTTCTATACTCCCTGCTTTCCCACTTTTCATCTATTTCTCCTTAGAACAAGGAAGCACATTTAAACTGTCAGTTCTTTTGTTGTTTTCAACTGCTGTTAAGGACAAATTTCCACCTTCTCTGGTGCACACATAACATATAACTCAGCAGTACTGAGGTGGATATCAATGGAATTAGAGTGATTAAACCCCAGAAAAACTGTCCCTAGTTTCAGAGCAGGAGGTGATATCTAATAGGAGTGGATTCACTTAATGTGATGACCTTCCATAGCCTAGAAGCTACATTACCTGTCTAACCAATACCTGTTTTCTCTCCAGGCCAAAAAACAGTCATTTGTGTGATTTGCATGGTTGGTTTAATTAACATAAGCTAATAAGTGCAGGAAGGCAGCATGGCAGAAATCCCTCACCTCAACCCCACCCCCATTGAAGAAAATTGTAACTGTCCTCTTTATTTCATTTCTTTCCTTTCCTTTGTCTTTTATCTTCTTGTCATCACAAATCCTTCTAGAAAAGAAGAAAGGAGAAAAGAAGAGAAGAAAAGAAAAGGAAAGGAAAGAAAAGAAAAGAAAAGAAAAGAAAAGAAAAGAAAAGAAAAGAAAAGACAAGACCTGAACCCATAGTGTATAGATTACAGTAAAAGGTCTAAGGAGCATCAATTTTTTTCTAGAAAGGGTCTTCTAGGCCAATGAGTCCAATTTTATTCTTTTACATTTGAGGAAATTGAGATTGTGTAAGGCTAAGTAACTCACTGAAAGTCACATAAAGTTTACAAGGCAAGATTTGAACTCAAGTTTTCTCGGTTACAAGCCCAGCAATCTATCCACTCTAATATCTAATTCTTCTTTAACACTGAATCCTCTGAAATTTACTGGACCGGGGTCACCTGAGAGCAAAATTTGAAATATATCACAAGGTAACCAAGAAACCTTTCCAAAGCCCTCAGCCCTAGGTGCACTGGAACACAAAGGAATTCAAAGTCCCCAGAGAACTCCCCTAACCTTTTCCATTTTGTAAAAAACCAAAGAGATCTGCTGGATGAAAGCTTGGGGTTGGGAAAACAGGCCTCGTCTAAGCCAGAGAACAAATACAAAGACCAAGTAAGCATATGGTGGCTTCCATCCAGTGGGCCTCAAATCTGATGGAAGGGGATGACTGCAAGGAACGACAGGAGAAATTAGTCTTCTTAATTCCCTTAGCCTGGTCTCTTCACTGACACCACCCATCAGGAAATCGGCTGGTCTAGTGGTTGTTCTTATGATGTGGACACTTTTTCTCTTGGGCCTGAGCCCAAGACCAGCTTTTCATATTCATCTTTAAGGTCTTTGAAACCCAGACCACTGCAAAGGCTGATTGCTGGAGGTGCTAAGGTGTCCAGTATCTTGGTTTGTGTGAAGGGCCAGTGCTAAGATTTTAAGCCATAGCTTAATGCAAACCACAAGGGAACATGATATATGTAGGTGATCTGGTTGGGGGAAGCAACTGCACCCCACAGAGATACATCAAGCAAAAAGAAATATTAGCTGATCAGGACATGAGATGACAAATGCCTAGTTGTGTATGCAACTCTAAAAATGTCTCATATGGAAATCTTTAGTAAAACAATTGGCCATATCCTATACTTCCCTTCTAATGTAGAAAAGGCTACATTAGTAGCAGCTACATTAGCACAAGGAAAATACAAGCTTTGTCTACCAGGCAATGTACTCCTCATACATAGGGAGAGATTTGTGTTTCACCTACGTGATCCACTAATGCAAGGGTTTTTTTTTATCTTTTTTGACATTATGGGCCCTTTATCAGAATAATGTTTATATATATAACATAAAATACATAGGACTACAAAGGATATCAATTCCATTTGAGTGACTTTGACATTAAAAAAAATAATAAGTTCATGGACCTCAGGTTGAGAACTCCTGTGGTAGAGATAGAGACATATATGGTAACTACAAAAATAATTAATGAAGGAGGGAGAAAAACAGGAAAGAAGAGAGCAAATATGTGTGTCCAGAAAAGGAATCTTGTTTTGACCCTGTTCAAGAATTTGAAATGAAGCACAGAATTTAGGAAGGGACATTAACAATTGAAAGACCAGGAGCATCAGTCGATAGAATTTTTAAAAATAATTTCTCCTTTCTGTGAAAATGCATTTTAGATACAAGTAGTCACAAAGAGATATTATAACTCTACTTTGAAATAAAAATTTTCATCCTGTTATCTCTATTTTCTTTTTGCTAAGTGTAGCATATCCAATATTTAAGCACAAGTGCTCTGGCTTCAAATCCAGGGTCTTATACTCTCACATAGTGGATATCATATAGTGACCATAAAAACTCAGATTATCCCATTCAAGCATATGGTGTCCCCTACAGAACTCATCTACAGGTTTAATCAGTACCCAAGAGTCCAGGAGCCCACTAAAGTCCTAGCCATCTCTAACACATAAAAGTAAGCCACAATTCAAAAAGATTAACATAAAAGTCAAATCATTTAACTTCTCTTGGGCTCAGTTTCTTCATCTGTGAAAATATCTGGGAATAGTAATAGCACCATCTCACAGAGGATGAAATAGAGAGTTTTGTAAACCTTAGGCTGCTATATAAATGTTAACTATTAGTATTCTGAAAGTATGGGAATGCAGAGATCTCTGTCATGCATCTGTTCTTTTACCTAGGGGGCTAAACAACACTCTTTGGCTCCTCTAGTCTTCTTAGATGACTATGGCTTGACTGATTGGCTGTAGAATACCTATCAATTGGTAATTTCTTTTTTGATTACTCATCTCCTTAGACATAACTGTGCAGTTCATTTCTTTAGAATTATCTGAGATAGAGGTAGCAATTGGACCTGAAATTTTCTTGGTACAAGGAATTTCTAGGTTGGGAAAGTTCCTCTACTAATATATTTTGATACCTTCTCTGAAACTTATAGAATTGCCTAGAACACTGAAAGGCTAAGGACTGGCCCAAGACCACAATACCAGTATGTGTCAAAAGTAGAAAGTGAACCTCTGTCTTCCTAATTATGAAACCAGATCTCTACCATGTCATGCTACCTTTTTAAGAGTAATTATGAATAACTTTTTATTCTTTTTTTCCATCCCCTTGCTTTTGCACAGTTTGCCCTCCATTCCTGGAATACCCCTTTGAATTCTTTATTCAAGGCTTAGTACAGGTGCAACCTCAGAGAGGAATGTTTTCCTCATCTCCCTGGTTGTTAACACACTCTCCCTTCTCAAATTATCTTGCTTTTACTTTTCTGGGTATACTTTTTCTTTTCCTAGGAGGATGTAAAGTGCCTTAAGAACAGACTCTACTTTTTTTTTTTTCAGCTCCCAAGGGCTAAGCATAATGCCTTATATTTAGTGCTTAATAAATGTTTGCCGAATTGAAGACATGAGTAATTTGCTTATATTGGTACATTTATGCTGTCTAAGGATTTCTTGTTTTAGTTCTTATGCTTTATGGCTCTTACCATACCCTATGTTTTCATGGTCATTATTGGCTAAAAATTTCCCCTCCAGCCCATATACTTGGAGGTTCATATTCAATACTTACCTTTTGTTTGCCCCCCAGTTGTGACTTTATTTAGTATAATTCAGTCCACCAAGTATCCTAGTTTAGGAGATTCCAATAGTATTGACCTTAAGTCAACTTATGATGGGGCAGACAAGTTAATACTTCTTATCTCCCTAGTGAGCCTGGGCTTTTGCTACTCTCAGTGGTCTCCTTAAATTACAATTAATGACTGTCTACCATAAAGGCCGGTCTTAATAAGCTTCAGATCTGAATCTTGAAAACCCCTGAAAGAAACAATTATGTCCAAAGTGACTTTTAAAGTAGATGATTCAAGGAAGGAAATCCACATCAACCCTCTGTCAATCATAGGAGAGAAGTAAGACCTTTTCAGAAAAGCCCATATTTCCTTGGGACCAGGTGATAGCCCTCAGTACCACGGGGGACAGCAGTGAAATTCAGTAGGTCCATAACTCTGAGAGGACTTTCTTTGAAATAAAAAGGAAGTGAAAAGTAAAACTAACCTCAAATTCTCAGTTTCTCTAGGATCCAAAGGT